ATTCATTTTTGTCTTGCCCTCAGAGTTTAGCATATTATGCTCTATAAATAATTGTTGAGGACAATGACAGAATCTGGGACTGCTCTTCTCTTCAAGGCAGCAGCCAAGAGGTGAAACAGGCCAGTATGCAGTATGAGAAGCTGTCACACACTCAGATCTACCACTTGCCTAAGGTAGCAGATGATTGGGTTTTGCATGCCTGGTTTATACTCTTCAAATATTTATAGACAGTTCTCTTTGCCTCCAGCCCTAGTTGTCACTTAGCCAAGTTATACATACATGGTTCTTTTAATCTTTCCTTAAAAATCAATCCTACTAAGCTCTTTAATCATTCTAGTTGCATTTTTCAGCTTTTGGCAGTTTGTCTTTCCGGTGACTTATTCTGTTGAAAAGTATGGAAATAACATGGGTTTGGAACACAGAGGAGTTTAGTCACTTTCCCATTTCAAGATTCAATGCCTTTTATGTGTAAAATAAAATTACTTATCCTCTTTCCTTTTGCATAATTATGTTTTCAGAAATTCATTTTAAGTTGGTAGATAAATCAATATATTACAAGTGAAAAGAAGAAGAATGTATCAGCAGTATTATATTCTCTAAGGATGATACTGTCATTGATTGATCCTCTTGTGTGTTTATAACTAACTAATCTAACCTGCAGTATTCAAATATGAGAAATGGGAATCCAGTGTAACTTGGCCACCACAGAGAAGGCTAAGTGCCCATGCTAAGGTACTGTCTGTCTGTGGATATTTCTGGCCAACTTTGCTTTAAAAATGTTTTTTAAATAAGTTAACTTTTACCATTATAAACATAATACAATAAAGATAATTTCAAATAATCAGAAATAGGGAACATTATCTAGAGTCTACAACCCAAAGTCAACATTTAGCATTTTTAAATTATCTTTAAACTGACAGATAAAATTGTATGGATTTATCATGTACAATATGATGTCTTGGGTGTATAAACAGGCATATCTTGCTTTATTGTGCTTTACAGATACTACATATTTTTTTTTACAAACTGAAAGTTTGCAGCAACCCTGCACTGAGCAAGTCTATTGGTGACATTCTTTCAACAGCACGTGATCACTTTATGTTCTGTATCACATTTGATAATTTTGCTAATATTTCAAACCTTTTCATTATTATTTTATCTACTACAGTGATCTGTGATTGCTGATGTTACTACTGTAATTGTTTGGGGTGTCATAAACTGTGTACTTACAGGATGGCGAACTTAACTGATAAATGTTGTGTGTGCTGACTGCTCCACAGACTGGATGCTCTCCTGCCTTTCTCCCTCTCCTCAGACCTCTACTCTCTGAGCTACAATACTGAAATTAGGCTTACTGTGACCTCTAAGTGAAGTGCTCAAGTGACAGATTAAGAGTTGTGTGTGTCTTACTTTAAATCAAGAGCTAGAAATTATTAAGCTTAGAAAGCATAATAGGTCCGAAGCTATACACAGAGAAAAATGTCTAGAAATTATTATTTATTAATATTACTAAATTACTAATATAATAATTATTTTAAAAAGCTAGAAATTATTAAGCTCAGAAAGCCAAGCTAGGTCAAAAGCTATGACTCTTGCTCTAGTCAGCTAGGTTGTGAATGCAAAGAAGTTTGTGAAGGAAATTAAAACTGCTGCTCCAGCAAACACACAAATGATAAGAAAGTGAAACAGCCTCACTGCTGATATGAAGAAAGCTTTAGTGGTCTGGGGATCACTAGCCACAACACTTCCTCAAGCCAAAGTCTAATCCAGAGCAAAGTCCTAACTCTTTTCAGTTCCACAAAGACCAAGAGAGGTGAGAAAGCTGCAGATGAAAAGCTGGGAGCTGGCAGAAGTTGGTTCATGAGGTTTAAGGAAAGAAGCCACCTCCATGACATAAAAGTGCAAGGTGAGGCAGCAACTGTGATGGAGGAGTTGCAGTAAGTGATCCTGTGGGTCTGACTAAGACAACTAATGAAGGTGGCTGCACTAAACAACAGATTTCCAGTGTGGATGAAACAGTCTTCTATTGGAAGAGGCTATCACCTAGGACTTCCATGGTTAGAGAGAAGTTAAAAGTCTGGATTCAAAGCTTCAAAAAACAGGCTGACTCTTTTGTTAGAGTCTAATGCAGCTGGTGACTTGAAATTGAAGCCGATGCTCATTTACCATTACAGAAATCCTATGACCCTTAAGAATTATGTTTACTCTACTCTGCCGATGCTCTACAAATGGAACAAAGCCTGTATGACAGCACATCTCTTTACAGTATGGTCTACTAAATATTTTAAGCCCACTGTTGAGACCTACTGCTCAGCAATTTAAAAAGATTCCTTTCAAAAGGTCACTGCTCACTGACAATGCACCTAGTCACCTACGAGCTCTGACAGAGACGTACAAGGAGAGTCATGCCTGCTAACACAACATTCATTCTGCTGCCCATGGATCAAATAAATACTTTCAACTTTTTTTTTTTTTTGAGTTGGAGTCTTACTCTGTCACCCAGACTGGAGTGTAGTGGCCACTCCCGGCCACCGCAGCCTCCACCTGCTGGGCTCTGGTGATCCTTCCGCCTCAGCCTTCCAAGTAGCTGGAACTACAGGTGCACGCTACCACGCCCAGCTGATTTTTTTATTTTTTTTTATTGTGGAGATGAGGTCTCGCCAAGTTGCCCAGGCGGGTCTCGAACCCGCGGGCTCAGGCAATCCACTCACCTCAGCCTCCCAAAGCACGGGATTACAGGCTGAGCCACTGAGCCCGGCAATACTTTCAACTTTTAAGTCTTATTTAAGAAAAACATTTTGTAAGGCTATAGCTGCCATTGACAGTGATTCCTCTGATGGATTTGGGCAAAGTAAACTGAAAACCTTCCAGAAAGGATTCACCATTCTAGATGCTATTAAGAACATTTGTGATTCATGGGAGGAGGTCAAAATATCAACACTGGGCAACCCCCTTGGGTCCCCTCCCACTGTGGAAGCTTTTCTGTCCTCTCAATAAATTCTACTTAGAAAAAAAGTCAACATTATCAGTAGTTTGGAAGAAGTTGATTCCAAACCTCATGGATGACTTCGAAAAATTCAAGATATCAGTGGAGGAAGTAACTGCAGATGTGGTAGAAACAGCAAGAGAGTCAGAATTAGAAGTAGAACCTGAGGATGTGACTGAGTTGCTGTAATCTCTGATAAAACTTGAACAAATCAGGAATTGCTTTTTATGAATGAGCAAAGAAAGTGGTTTACTGAGATGGAATCTACTGTGGTGAAGATGCTTTGAACACTGTTGAAATGACAAGAATGAATTTAGAATATCCCACAAACTTAGTTGATAAAGCAGCAGCAGGGTTTGAGAGAACTGACTCCAGCTCCAAAAGAAGTTCTGTGAGTCAAATACTCTCACACAGTGCCGAGTGCTACAGAGAAATTTTTTTGTAAAAAGAAGTCAATCAATGTGGCAAACTTCATTGTTGTCTTATTTTTTAAAATTGCCTCAGCCACCCAATCTTCTGTAGCCAGCACCCTGATCAGTCAGCAGCCATCAATGTCTAGGCCGGACCTTCCACCAGCAAAAAAATTACAACTCACTGAAGGCTCAGATGACTATTAACATTTTAGACATAATGCTGCTGTGTACTTAATGGACTATAGTATAGCATAAATGAGGCTTTTATATGCATTGGAAAACAAAACAATTTCTGTGACTTGCTTTACTGAGATATTCACTTTATCTACAATATTTCTGAGGTATGCCTGTATATCGTGGAATGACTAAATGTAGGTAATGCATATAGACATTGCCTCACATAGTTACCAATCTTGTGGTGAGAACACTTAACATACACTTTCTTGGCATTTTTCAAGAATAAATTATATTGTTATTAACTAAAGTCATCAATTATGTACAACAGATCTCTCGAACTTATTCCTTCAATCTACCAGAAATTTTGCATGCTTTGACCAGCAGCACTCCAAATTCCCCAGCTCTTGGTAACCACTGTTCTAATCTCTAGTTCTATGATATCAACTTTTTTAGATTCCACATATGTGAGATTACATAGTATTTGTTCATCTGTGCCTACTTTATTTCACTTTATATAATATTCTCCAGGTTCATCCATACCGTGGCAAATGGCAGGGTTTTCTTTTTTTATGGCTGGAATGTATTACATTGTGTACATATACCACATTTTTTTTATCCTTTGATGATGAACACAGGCTGATTCCCTATCTTGACTATTGTGAATAATGATGATGCAATAAACATGGGAGTGCAGATCTCTTTGATATACTGATTTCATTTCCTTTGGACACACACAAAAGAGTAGTGGGTCTGTTGGATTGTATAGTAGTTTTATTTTTAATTTTTAAAGAAACATTCATAATATTTTCTAAGATGGTTATACCAATCATTTAGTATTTTTGAAGAATTTCATTTAAGCTTTTTTGGAAGCATTGTTCCCTCCACCAATTATATATGATCATATCATTTGCAGTTGAACGCCTTGCCTTTCCACTTAATATTTTAACACAAAATTTCATATATTACATTGTCCTCAAATCATCCTTTTTAGTGAGTATCAAGCATTCCACCAAGTAAGTGGGTATGCCATAATTTTACAATTTCTTATTGTTGGACATTTCCATCATTTCCATTTTTTCTCTAGTTTAAATGTCACTATGATGAAAATCTTTGTATGGAAAGTTTTTTAAAAGGTTATTTCTAGGTTCATAGCAGTAAATGAGTAAAAGGAAACAGAAAATACATTTTGAGGAATAGAATCAATGCAAGTACTATCTGAAGTGAACAATATTACCTTAGGTACAAAGATTTGTCTTTTGGCTCTGATGTTAACAAGTGAACACTCAAAACTTACAAACTTATAAAATACTGTCCAATGTGGTAAATTCTAATCAGTTAAATGTTGCACCCACTAGTATTCCAGTTCTTTACACACAAGTATATTGCTGATTCCTTATTAATTCAGTTTAAATTCTTAACCTTACCTAGATCTACCATCAGAAGGCGAGTGAGGGCAGTGTAGAAGGTTGTTCGGCACCTGAAGTCACTGAGACTGTAACTGTCACTGATGCCAAGAAAAGGGAAGTGCTCGCTCTAATGAAAGCAAAAGAGCATCCAAAGTTACTAATACTTTGACTAAACTATCTGGAAAATTCTAGTCATTAATTAAGGAAATAAGACTTACCGTGTGGTTTTTTAGCATGAATTTCACAGCATCTATCTTCACAAGCTTTTTTAAAAGGATATAGGTAATAGAAGTTAAGGAATCTGGGAAATGTATTTGTCTTATCAGTATGTAATAAACCACAAAATAATACTGCCTGTAGTGGCATCAATTTCAACTTATAAAGAATAAATATTGTTTTTAAAGACTATTCCTATAGAAATGTCTGTCATTCTGTTGAGAATGATAATCCATTATTAACCAATGCAATTACTTTTTCTATCTTATACATATTCTAGTTATGGAAAGGAAGAATGAATTTTATAATTAAGGCAAGAACTCCTTTACTATTAAAGTCTTGATAGTGGAAAATTAAAACTGACCCTTTTTATATTTTGGGTGTAACTTGAGAATTTCTTCTTACTTAATGTTATTTCATAATGGAATAATTATAAAAGACCGATAAAAGGCTATTAAGAAAGAGAAAATTATTCAATTCTAAGAAACAACGAGTTCAGTTAGTAGAAAGTTAAGATCAGAATTATAATTAGGGAAATACAGCAGATTGCATGTCATCAAGCAATGAAGGACAGCTTAAAGGAACTAACATTTCTCAAGTGCCTACTATGTACAAACATTTTTCATATGTTAATTCACCTAATCTTCACAATTACACTGTCAAATATTATTAATTATTTATATTTCATTAATAATGAAATAAACTAAGAGAAATTAAGATATTTGCCCAAGATTACAGAGTTATGGGTTGATAATGCTGAAATGTGAACTGAGGTTTGGCTTCAGAGATTGTTCTTTCTACTGTACACCACATTATCACCTGAACAGTTCAACTCAAATGAGAATAAAGTTGAGAAATCATAAACATGAATACAAGGCCTATATAACTTCAGGTATGATGTGGGTTCTAAGTACATCTACTCAGTATGCAGATGTTCTCTTCTCTTACTTACAATAGTCATGTGTTTTCTACTGCAGCTAGAGCATCTGTTAGCTGGTCCCTAATACTTACTCATGACTTTCTTGAAGGCTATAACAATCTTATATGGCTCAATGAAAGTACTGGGTCCTGTCTTTTCCTTTATCTTATCTCCAAACGCGGAACTCAGTATATAGTCTCTGCACCATGGCACTGAAAAATCTAATTCTAAATTTCAACCACTCAGGCATGGAAACATACTGGAACATGAGTCAGAAGACCTGGGCTTGACTATACCATTCAATCAGTGGGATGAATGTAATATACTCAGCCTGTCTCAGCCTTAGTTCTCCACAACAAAGGAGGATGAAACCTGTGACCAAACTACCTTACACAATTGTTTTGAGTATCAGATAATGCAAATAACTTTGTTAATTATAAATCAGGGAAGAAATTACAAAGATGCAGAGAATTTACAGAATGCATACTACCCACAGGGTTAATTCTCACAATTTCATGAGATAGGCAGTATCGTTTCTATTGTTCAGATGAGGAAACAAACTTAAAAAAAGAAATTAAATAACTTTCCAAAAGACAAATAATCAGTATGATTTGGATTCCCTCTGACTCCAAACAACCACTCAAGTTGCATAGTAAGTATGAATATTTGGCTTACCTCCATATTAGACTGTAAACTTCTTAAAGGCAGGGAGGGACTGTATCCATGCATTCTCCTCACCACACTGCTCTCAGTGGGTGTTCAGTGCACTGTGGCAGGCTGAAGGATAATGTGATCATGGCTGACAGGTAGCAAGTTTTTCCCTGCCTCCCAAGATGCAGACTTGATGATTTTTCTCAGTGTCAGTCATTGAGCTGAAGATCTGCCACTCAAACTTAACTCAGTTAAACAGGTGTGGGGATCAATAAACTTAGAAATAAGTAATTATCAAATACAATTCTCTTAAAATTGGCAAGATAAAAATGACAGGGACGATGGGTAATAAGAATGCTGTCATTAATAGGAATCTTCCTGTCAGTGCTGTTAATAAACAGCAAGTCATGTTTTGACAATAGAATATTTATGGAGGCAATAAACAGAACATTCGCAGGAAGAATCTCATCTGCCAAAGACATTTTCTGCAGAACTGCATCTGTGCACTTTGTACCAAGCCCCGTCTCACTGCCTTTTAATTACATTCTAAAGAAGAAAAAAATGACTAAGAATGTATTTTTACATTTTTCAATAAAGAAAAAAATGAGGGCTCATCTGAATATTTATATTCTCTTATAGGAATTCAATTCAAAGCTAGTTATGGACCTTAAGAGGGTGTGTAATTTTTTTAAAGGCAAAAGGATACATCTTCTTTATGATATTTATACTTTCATCTTATTCTTCTCTAAGAGATTAGAGTTTTGCTAAGTTGTGCCATTTTAGCTGGGTGAAGGCATTAGACAAATTATGGCAGTACTAGGCCTATCCAACAACAGTTTATAGCAATAAACATGGTAATGGTGGTAAGAGTAATACAACAGTACTAGGAGTCTTGAGTAGTAAGATAATTTAGGAAACATCACACAAGGAACATATAAGTGGGTGAGCCAAGATTCAAATCCAAGTCTGTGATTCTAAAGCCTGAGCTCTTCTCATTGAATTACATCATATTCATTTGATTTTAAAGAGGCCAGTGTTCTTCCAGAGATCACTAGCTTCTTGAAATACAACTGAAAATGGAATTAGGTAGCAGAAGCGACAGAGAAACTCTTTCTTTTAGGAGAGACCAATTCATTAATCAGCCAGCATCATATCCAAGACTGAGCAAACTCTATGGTCTGGCTGATAGTAACTCACTAAACAAAATTTTAAGAAAATTCCTGTCTATATTCATGTGGCTATGAAAACACTGAGGAAGTAAAGATGGTCTTACTGGTAGCTAGCACACGAATAGAGAAAGGCAAGAAAAGAATGAAAGAATGGTGTATGTACAGAAGGCTTAAAATTCTGAAAATTTGAAGAGAAGAAAATTTGAAGAGAAGAATAACCAAATTGAGAATGAACTGGTTTTTTTAGGTTACAGGATTGTTACACACTTTAGTAGCTTATCAATACAGTAACACAAAGTGCAACTTCAGTTCATGGTATCTGGCCTTTACTGAGTATTTAATCAAATCTAAAATGCCAGTAATCATTGAAAAACATTATTTTATGTACTTCTAATAAAGAAAAGTATTTTACAATCCCAGAAATTGTAATATATACTGTTCGCAGAAATCTTAAAATATAACAAAATTTTGTTTTAGAATTGGAGTATGTACTAGATAGATGATATTTGTAAGTATAAGAGAGTGGGTGATGATACTGATTTAGGCAAATATTTAAGAGTCATACATGTTCACAGACAGTTTTTGTACATAGAATTAGATCCTGATGACAGAAGAAAGTTCACAGATAAGAATATTACACACCAGAAAATACTGTAGGTGGATTATAAGTACAAAGTATAGTTACTGAAATGTAAATTTAATTATTTCAAAAATAAGATTATGTTCATGACCCCAATTAGGTTTAAAAAAAATCCAAAAAGGTATAACCAAGATTAAGCACCTTAAGGGATACTAATAATTATTTATAAGAAATACAAGTTAAGGCTTACACACTCTACAGAAGCAGTAACAATATATTCTAAATGCCCATGGTATGAAGTTTTAAACTATAGAAGAAGGAAAAAAAGAGTCAATCTCTAATAATTTACAATCTAACAGGAGGTAGGACTAGCAAATACTAAACTATACTACATTCATACCCAGATATACAGATTAAAAATGAGGTGGCCAGGAACATTAAGAAAAAGAAAAGATGATGGGAAAGAAAATGAAGGGAACATTAAGGATTACAACTATTTCAGGATGGCTTTACTAAGTCTTTAGCAAGAATTAAAAAACTGAAGAGACCAAGTTGAGTTACAATGGGTCAAACAAGGGAGAATGGCATATGTGGCGATTCAGTGAAAGATAATGAAGTGTGTCAAGGGGAAGGTAAAATAAATTTCTCCTTAGTCCAAGAATAAAGTACAAATAGTGGTTGAGTGGTGGATCAGGAAATTAGTTATGGAAACTCAATAAATCAGTTACCATCAAGGAACTCAAATTGAAATCAATAATTTTACTTGACCTAAGAAGCAAATGGAAGCAATTCTGGGCTTCTGGGAAGAGAAATGATCAGATCAAACAGTATAGGAGGAAGGTAATCTTGTGAAACAGGTTCTACAGCAGTGGTCCCCAACCTTTTTGGCATCAGGGACTGGTTTCATGGAAGATAATTTTCCATACACTGGGGAAGGGGGGATGGTTTTGAGATGTTCAAGTGCATAACATTTATTGTGTACTTTATTTCTATTATTATTACATTGTAACACATAATGAAATAATTATACAACTCACCATAAAAAAGAGGCACGAACAGGAATGGTAAATAAAATAATGGGCAGGCCATGCACAGACTAAAAAGTGCTGGATTCTGACTTAAGGCTTGCCACCAGATGCAGTTGTACAACTGAAAGTACATCAACTCCCTTGCCACTCACTGACAGTGTTTTGATATATGAGTCTGCAAGCAATTGATTTATTATGGTCTCTGTGCAATCAAACCTTGCTGCTAATGTTAGTCTGTATTTGCAGCCACTTCCCAGTGCTAGCACCACTGCCTCAGCTCCACTTCAGACCATCAGGCGTTAGATTCTCATAAGGAGCATGCAACCCAGTTCCCTTGCATGAGCAGTTCACAGTAGGGTTTGTGCTCCTATGAGAATCTAATGCTGTTGCTGATCTGATAGGAGGTAGAGCTCAGGCAGTAATGCAAGCAATGGGGAGCTGCTGTAAATACAGATGAAGCTTCACTTGCTTGCTGATCACCTCCAGCTGTGTGGCCCAGTTCCTAACAGGTCAAAGATCAGTACCGTCTGTGGCTCAGGGTTTGAGGACCCCTGATCTAAAGAACTTGGTAAAGGTCTAAATAAGAAGGCAATAGAAGAGGAGTAGAGAGGAGCCTCACACCTGATTCTAGTATAAAAACAAACATACAGGGGAAATAAATTATAGTATTATTTTTTCATGGCTGATAGAGACAGAAAATAAAGAAATAAATCAACATTTTTTTGGATGAGAAATGTTAATAAGAAGTATGCCTGAGGGATGTATGCTGAAACTAGTTTTATTTAAAATTCTCACAAACCATCTGGAGATGGTGGTATTCAGTGCAAGAAAGCAATGCATTTTAATATTGTTTCATGAAAGCAGAATTACTACTGGTATTGCTAAATAGTTCTTGTAACCGACATAGCCCATCTTACTTCCATCCTTCACTTTTATTTCATTCTAGACCTTTGCTTCATCTCTCATCCTCTAGTCTTTCCTGACCCCCACCACATTCAGGATTCACACCCCAGTGAAAAGGTCAGAGATAGAGTGAGGATGCCTGGCTTGCATATTACTTGGTAAATTAAAAAGTTGTATACTTAATGGGTTTTATATAAGCTTATGTCTTATATATAAAATAAAGGCCTCCCTCAAAGCAGCCACATCACAATGCCACATACCTGCATTACTTGTAAAGTGTAGATTTTCAGAAAATTAGTATGTAACTTATTTGAGTTACATTTTAAAAGAAGAAAAAGAAACTATGTTAAGAAACAATTGACTTTGAGCTGTCAGAAATACAAAAAAGGAAGTCTGGAGTCAGAGTCATTTCTGTTCGAATTTAAAATACACGGGGGCAGAGTGTTTTGTTTGTCCTTTTGCTCTGTATTTAGCAAATGATTAATAAATATTTGCTGAATTGAAAGAGGCTAGTAACATAAAGAAGAGTATGGAAATAAATTTAAAAATCACTAATTCTTACTCAATGTGAAATCTAGGTAAGGATGCAGCTCTGGTTATTGCACTTCAAACAAACAAGCAAACAAAACAAAAACGAATGAAGCTGGGAAAGTTATGGTATTGAAAATAGGAAATGATCATGGTAATGAAGTGACTTTGATAGGAAATAGACTCTTAGGGTTGCAAAAACAAAAATGACTGAAGTAAAACAGTAAACTGAGGTATGATGCATGGGAATAGGAATTATATTCACCAAATTCCAGTGTACAGGAACTAAGGGGATAGTTGTAGAGGGTTAGCCAGAAGCCAAATGAAAGGAATCATTTCTCTAAATCAGAAAAAACCAGAGCCATCTTCACAGGTGTGTGTACTGCACAACTGCACAGCATCTTGTGCTTAGAAGAGCACACGCTTGGTTTAATGATCTGCCATTGAGGTCTTAAAAGTCCTAGTAATTTTTGAACAAGGGACCCTACATTCTTCATTTTTTACTGGGCCCTGTGAATTATGCAGGTGTTCTTGCAATAACTTGGGGAAGTCATTCTTCCTGAGAACTGTTGAGGTAAACAGTGTCAATAAGGTTAACAAAAAGAGTTTGGATACATTAATAATTAATGCAGAACTCTCTTATAGCATATGTATTTAAAAAGCTGAAGGTATTCTGAGTTTTCTTAAACATCTAATGATTATGTAATAAAGGACAACTACCAACAGAGGGCCTGATAGAGAATGAAATTTCCTTTCTTATTATATATGTGAAACCTAAAGTGAGACAAGTTACTGCTGTAAATTTGAGTGAACAATGAATTGCAGTAGAAATATGGATCCATTATTTTTCAAAAGAAGAAAAACTTGAAATAATGATTAATGAACACAGAATTGGGGATGAAATATAATGTTTTTCTCCTTCTTTCTCGGCATCTAAAATAAGTTTACTTGACTGCTCTGTGGGATCCTTATTCTCACTCCAATTTTCCCAGCAGTTTATTCGTTCCAATCACTTAAACAATCTCAACCTTTTTCCATTTAGATGGAAACTAGAATTTCTGATCAGAAAACATTTCTAAGAGGGGGAAAGATCCCTTGTACTGAACCTGACTATGGAGGGTTGGCCCCAAACAAAGCCATTTCAGCTCTGTGCATTTTAGAAAAAGCTATTCAGAATCAGGAATTTTAAAAATTTAGTCTTGGAAACTAAAAAAAAGTATGTTAGAAAGTTACACAAGTGTATTTGTTAACTGTATGATATATGCCCATGTAATGACTCTGATGGGAAAACAAACTTTCTGTCAAAAAGGTTCCTGGATTTAAAAATGACAATTGTTTTACCAATTTGGAAATTTTCAAATTTGGCAAACAGCAATTCTGGGATAAAATGCAACAGACTACCCATTCACAATCTGGTGACTTATATAATGGCAAACCCCACGTCCCCTCTCACCCCCGGCGTTACTATTTAGGGAACGGATCTATCTCTAAAAATGTCAAGTCCGCGTTTTTCCAATGAGTCGTATGAAATCCTATGAAGATGTGCCTGTGGGAGATGTACCTAACTTTTCTGTTCAAGGACTATATTTCAGCTCTGTTTTCTAATTACCTAAAGGCAGAAATTCTTAAAGTATGATCCTAGAGCCACCAGCATCACCTGAGGTTATTAAAAACACAGATTCTCAGGCCTAGGCATAACACCTCTTGAAAGAGAAACTCTGGGGAATGAGGCCTAACAATTTGTGTTTTAACAAGCACCCACATTTTGGGGCTCACTAAAGTTTGAGACCACTGTCCTAAGACAACTGAAGGTGTTTTAACACTTCCTAAAAATGAGAATCTATTTTATTTCAATTTCCAAACAAGCGATCAGATAAATGAATATCAAAGTCCTGAGACAGGCTCTGAGTACTGGCATAAACACTGAGTAAGGTTCCTGAAGCAGATAAAATAGAAAAGGCAAAAGTAAAAGGCATCTAAAGATGTTTACTATAAACAAAAAACATTAAAAAACTTCTTAGTAAGATAACACGTTTTTCATTTACTTGTTACTTGTATTTTAAATACAAATACTTTGAATATTTTGTATATAAACAGATTTTCATCAATAGGGGTCTGTAGGTGATTATTTTATCTTGTATAATTATTTCTATTGCTGAAGAATATCATTTTATTCTTAACAAAGAAATAATCTATTGCTTTAAAATCAAGATAGAAAAAACACATTATAATAAAGAAATCGATTGGAAACAACAAAACATGCATTAGGTAACCAGTAAACTGCACTGAAATAGATATACCACTCACATATTCCATTATGTAAATGAATTCAAAGATATTTCATGACTGATCAGCTGGAAGGGACATAATGATTTATAATTCAAATAACTGAGCACTGAAATCAAATTGAGCTAATATATATTTCTAAATATGCAAACCTGAAATAATTGTTAAAAAATATAAATCAATGTACCCATGTTGAAATCATTGTATTCTTTGGTTTAAAATGTTATAGCTTTTAAACTTTTATCTAGTAAGTTTTCTGAAAATATGATATTTTGTTAACTTCAAGAAGTGCTCAGAAGCAATAAATAACTTGTAAAATAAAAAGGTTATAATATTTGGATTAAAGAACATATAATAGGTTTAATCTGATAGGAGAAAATCTTAAATAGCAGACACAAATAAATTAGGCATTATGCAAATTCCACTAAAAAGAATACAAATTAATCTTATATTAAATATCAATTTCAACCTAAAAAATAGGGTAAATCTAAACAATAAATACATTACAAAATAACTGAGGCTTCTTTGCAGATAATATGCTCTCAAAGTAATTCATTGTGAAAAGGTCAGAGTTTGCAATAGCAGAAAGTACTTACAACAACCACTTCATATGTTAGAAATAGAGTATTTCAGCACTATTATTAGAAAAAAATACAGGTTGAGTTTTTTTTTTTAATAAGAAAAAATACATATCTTAAAAAGCCAAAATGACCACTGGAATTGGGTTGTACATCACTTTCTGGTAAAAAGGAAAAACAGCATAGACAGGTGTAATTTATCATTTTTCTGATTTAATATCAAAGAAATATATTAAAATAATAAAAAGAATCCTGAAATCCTCAAAATTTGTAGTGATAAATAGCCCTCCCTGTCTTTATTGCATTATACCTACTAACAGAAATATTGCATGGTGGATTTTGCCAGACAAGGACGATTATTTTCCAATAAAAAGTTGCATATTAAATTCCAGCACAAAAGTGGGTGTCTAATACTTTGAAAATCTTTTATGGCTTACCAAGGAACACAATTTTAAACTTAACTAATTCAAACATATTCCTGGAATAAACCTACGTCAAAGGTTTCTATCCAATGCCATCCATTTTTAGGATTTGTTCTCATATTAAAATATCAGCTAAACTTAATGATTAACTAATCTAACATCTACTTATTTGATAGCTAACAGAGGAAAGACAATCTACATGATTCTCTTTCATTGTTAGAAATATAACAACAGTATCAACTATAATTTATTAAGAAAGGATGATTCCTTGTTTTAGAATTTAAAAATCTTAGAGACATCTAAACATTTAATGTGTAATGGGAAATCTTATTTTAGAGTAGATTAGGTGTTGATTTGGTGGGGTCAATAACCAAAGAAGTGGCCAAAAAGCTTATATTTTTCTTCCTATCACTACTTTATGCCTCTCAACTAATGAAAATGATATTCTTTTCAACTGAAGAATATTAGAGGTATATTTACTCATAGGAATTCAGTATTTATAAGGTAATACTTTTAGAACATTTAGACCCACTTAAAATTAGTTACATGCTTTCTTTTAGAACAAGAATTTCTGACTATTATGAAAAACCACAAACTAAAATACATGTGGATGTACTCTTTCTTATAGAACCATTTATTAATCCAAGTGAGTATAAATATAACTTTAACTAGTTAGGAACTTATACATTTATATAAATTCAGCTGTGACTCTGACTAAATGCTGTAGTATGCAGGTAATACAAACCTTTCAAGAACATGCATTTATAGGTAAGGCTAAATGAAAAGACTTATTTTTAAAAATAGTTGCAAAAATTATAAACAAAAATACCTGGCTAATTAAATGCACTTGTTAGCTTGTTTATATATAATATCAGATATACAGTGAAAAGGATATCCAACAGAAAGGTCATTTAAGAACTGAAGAGTCCTTGAAATTACAGGCTCACATCTTCCCCAATATTTAAGGTTTGTAACACTAAATATGAAAAAAAGCCTTAATTACAAGTAAGATACTTGCTTATGTAGAGAGAACTAGAAAATGCATATATACTTATGTAAGTTCAATGATCTAAATCACAAATGTCACATGAAGTGAAAAGCAGGTTAAAAAACATTTTCTTTTCTATTATTTTTATAGCACATTAAAAATTATATGCAACCAATCTACAATGACCACTGCTTTCCAAATAGTGTATAATTCTATACATTCAGTTTTGTAAATTAAAAAGTTGCCTAAGTGTTCCACAGAAAAACATTAAGTTTGTATCTAAAGCAAACATATTAGGGAGTGAAAGCAGGAGTTATAAAGAAAGTTAAATGCAGGCTCACTGTTACTGGCAAAAAAAGTGAACCATCAAAATGTGGCTCTAAAACTCACTTTTTAAGGTGAGAATTGTTTATCCAGCAAGAAGCACGGCAGTTCAGTCTGTTACATAAAGTGGGAGCCAAGTAGAAGCATACAAGTTTAGGCTAAGTGTACATAGTTATGTCTATGACTAAGATCTAGTTAGTTCTGCTAACATTGTAAGTACAATTTAAGGACAGTTTCCATGAATATGTCTCTAATAGCCATAGGTTCCTCTTGGAACCAATGAGTACTCTATCTTAAGGCAATCAGACCTCTCAACAATTTCAATTTGTGTTAACCTCTTCGGTTGCTCTTTGAAACTGGGTGTTTTCCTTTTAAGTTAAAAAAAAATGCTGCCCATTAATCTGAAGAATCAAAATTTTTAAAAGTTATAATCTGATTCAATTGTATGGAACTTTGACAAATTATAATGTCCTTTGGATGGTGAGAAATTAAGTTTCAATTAACAACGTTAACATCCTAAGAATTACATAATTTTAAGATCTTTTATTTTAAAATTAATATCTATAATTAAAACAGTAAAAAGAGTCATTAGATTTAAAACAACAATGAAAGAAAAAGACCAACATAGGAACTCACATTTTGGTCATAAATGTTTCTAGAACGTGGTTGTCATCAGTTATTCCTAAGACTTCTGACATACGAGCATATACCTGCATGAAAACATTTCATTGTTAAAAGCTTTATTATTAACATATATTTTCTGAAGATGAATTAAACAAACGTAAGATCTGATGCACTGTTGCATTCACGATGAAACAGGAAGTGGGTAGGGAGAGCAAGTGAAGAATTTTTTTAAAGATTTTATAATTTTAAAATTTTCTAACTTTTTCCTCCAGAAAGTACCTCTCCTGTTTTGAAATATATACATATTTACAAACACACACACATGTTTTACTCCCACTATACCACATGAATATTTTATTTCCTCCAAGTGGTAAACTGCCCCTTTCTTGAAGATGGGATTAGATATGCAAAGGGCTAGAAAGTAGAGTGTATCAACAAAAGGTTTCAACATTTAAAAAATGTCCATCTATTCCTGATTTCAGCAAAATATTAACTATTTCTGGATTATATGACAGTTATAAAAATAAGAATTTTAAAAAATCAAAGGAAGTGAAAGAATTTAGAGAAATTCTCTTCAAAAGTACCTAATTAAGTTTCCCAAATATTCAGGTAGGTCTTACTTTTCATGCTGAAACGGACATCCCAAGCTCAGGGATTCTCTGGTGAAAATATCAGGGCCTGGGAATCCACTGCACTTCCAATTAGGGAGTGTTGGTTGCAGAGTTTGGGGTGCAACATTTCAGTCTCAATGAAATACACAGTGAGCTCATAACATATCCCATTTCAAGTGGGAAAATGCCACCGGCAGCCAATGGAATATTTCCTACTAGCCTGGCAAAGCTGAGAGGTGGATTGACACCTCTATACTCCCTGATGCTCTGGTGTGATTCCAGGTTATCTCTGCCAGACACCAGCTGTATGGGATTGCTCTTCTGTGATTTGATTCCCTGTGATCATGTGTGTTCTCACTTTCTCCTGATCTGCCTATTTCTTATGTACAGCAACTTAGCTTCTACTCCCTCTGCCTTTTATTTTTTACATCTAAACACCAGCTTGATACACTGTCATAGGTCATGAAGGTAAGACAAAAATCACAGGAGCACCACAAGTCACACAGAGTTATAGGGTCTTACAGAGGAAAGCTGTTCATTGCAAAAATTTCCTATTTAGATTTTAAACACCAGGAGCTTGTGTTCCAGGCTTTCAACCTAAGTACTATATCTGTCTAGAAGACTTCTCCTCAGGCCTGGTAGAGTGGATGAGAAGGAGAGGAGGAGTTGGGTGTACAGGGTGAGAGAAGAAAAGGAGGGGCAGGATGGTGGAGAGGAGAAGCTAGAGGAGAGAGACAGAAAGCAAGATTGACATTCAAATTCCTGCTGTGTCTTCTGCTAACTTCTGAGTGCTACAGAAAAGAATTTCAATGACTATATGTCTGTGAGTTTGCCCATGAAAGTAGGCCTTCAACTCTTGTAAGATTAAAGTTATCACTGAGGTTTGTAAGATGTTTAAGGGAAAGAGGGAGCTAAGAAGAGAGAATCTAGAGAAGCTACTTACCACTCATCTCCAATGATCAGAAACCTTTAATACATAGATAGTTCAAATGAAGAATAGTATGTACAATGAAAAGTTTCGTTAAGCTCACCATGATCTAAGCCTCTCTCATGGGTAGAAGTATTCAAATTGGGTCCCTAGGAAAATCTGATGCTAATGTGATTAATGGCATACAGAGTTCTTCACAACTTGGCCCCAATCTACCTCATCTTCCACCATTTCCCTCAACCTCAAGCCACAATAAAATACCGATGGATCACAGAGGCTTCTCAGGCAATTTCAGATTTCTATATATATTCTAAATATTCATGTGCTTCCCGAATCAGCCTTCTTCCAATTCTTCGCCCCCCCCCCATTCTCATTCAAAAGTCATCTTCTCTGAAACCTCCCTTCCCTCTTTTATGTCCCCACAACACCTGGTCTATTCCTCTATCACAGTGCTTTTCACATTGTAATTGTTTGGGTGTCCATGTCCTCTACTACACTGAGAGCTTCTTGAGGGGTGATGCTGTGCCATATTGAGTCCCCAGCACCTAAGCCAATATTTGTCAAGTAAATACCACATGTGTGTTTAATGTATAATAGCAAAAGTCATGGTTTGGATCCACTAGGACTATATTGCACAAACAATGAAAAACATGAAGATTTTTCCCATTAAATATATGTTAGGACAAAACAGAATCATAAATTACAACAGAAAGAGAAAAGCAGTACAGAGAGCAGTTTATATTGCTATTTATAACCTATGACTATCTAGTAGTTAATTATAGCAATTGTCTTTAAACTTTTAGTGGCACCCTTGTCAAATGAGATCTTTCAAATAAGCCTAGTTTATAAAATCAGCTAACAGCAGGGACCTGAGACCCTGTCTGCCCTGCTCTGTATACTCTGTGGGGTCACGGACTTTGCCCTTAACTCTAACTGGAATTTTAAAGGTACTTTAATTTAACAAACTCGAAAGCAAGGATGCATACGTTTAAACCTAGCTTTACTACAATTCCAAGCACAAATTCCTCAATGGTATACAGAATCATTTTTATGGATAAATCATAAATTCCATGTTTTAAACATATTGGTTTTGGAAAAGACATGACCATGGCATTATCTCAAGTCATCTATTTTATTTTTACTGTATTTACATTTTCCTTTCTTGATCTCTCCTGGTTAATTTTCTAGTTTTGGACAACATAATGACTACATTGTACCTTTGTAAAATCAAATTTTACATTTTTAAGACTTTATAAATGTTATTTTTATGGCAAAACTCAGAAGTAATCTAATTTTTATTTAAATCATGCCACATTGAATATTAAAATATAATTACTAAAATATTATTTTTAATATTTAAAACACTTTTTAAATCAGTGGTTCCTGCAAAAAAAAGTTTTTCTGTTGTGTTCCTGACATTCAAGAGAGGAGGAAGCTAGGCAGGCAGGTCTATTGTGCTGTGCTGTCAAAACAGTTTCTCAAACCATCAGATTTGACCCAATAATATACTAGAAAAAACAGTCAACACTGACACATGGCAGCAGTGCTTTAATCCACAATTATCCTTGTAACTTGCACCATTCCTTTTATCATCCATTAGCTTTGATTCCCATTATCCCATCTAGAACTGTGTCAACGCTTTTGTCCTTGGGGATTTCTTTCCACTACTAGGATCTGACAGTCAAGCTTGAGAGTACTAAACAGGATCATTACCTCTTAAATCCACTTATCTGATCTACTCAATGGTAAATTGAAAAGCTCATTAAGAGCAACAATCTGATTTGTTTTCACGTGTGACAGGGTCATTTAAAATCAATGTATGATTACAGCATTTCTTTTAAAAGACTGTTTCACATTTTCCAAGGCACCACCTTATCATTCAGAGAACATGTAGATAATATGAAATGTCTTCAAACACTTGGAATTTAATTAACCCATAGACACAGATAATTTTGGGGTGGGAACTAATTTGTTCAGTGAAAAAATACCTACAAAATTGTTTATTATAAAGCACAAGTCAATAAAAGTTTCCCACAGAAAAATATTCTAATACTGTATTTAGTTTTCAACATTTTTTACTTTTATCACTTTGCCCCAAATGATTTTTACAATATCAAGATGAAACCATGTTACCATACTCACTTTGAAGAAAGTATATCTAGTTGGCATAGGAATGTATGAACTGAAAGTTCTTGCATTTCTTATTTTTTATTTCAGAATCTATTAAGATAATTTGATTGTAATAAAAAAAAGCAAATATCTAAGAAAAGGCTAAATGTATATGTGCTGTCATCCTTCAGAAAAGAATGGGCAATACAATGATGTTAAACAAATGGTTATGCCTTTGGCCATGTGTTTTACATAGTTAGAGATGTACATGCTGTACCCAAGTTTTTACCTGTCTGACCCTCCTCCCTTCTTTAATATGCCTGCAGTTCTCTATTTGACTATAAGCTCCCCAAGAGCAGAAGTGACACTGTTATTTATTTACCATACCTACTGTCAATAAATATTTGTTACATGAATAAAAAGAATATAATGTTAAAATGTGCATTTTGGACAATTCCATTTTTTCCAATTCATAATTTTTTAACAAAAGAAAACAACCCATTAAAGGCATTTTTTTCCCTGTAAAAATAATATGCCCAAAGCCTACTCATCAAGAATGGACACCAGGAAAATTTTGTTACTTAAAAAGGTGTGATTTTAATGCTTAAATAGTATTTCTGGAAGAAGCTCTCCCTATAGATTCAGTAAGAAGAGTTGTCCTTTGAAACCTTAGAGCATCCATCCATTGTTGCCAGACTGTTTATTGGTAGTTCTCATATCATATATCTGAATATTATCTTTTGCAGAATTATTTTCCATACGAATATATGTTTTCCTCACTATTTTAAGCATGTACTCCTGGAGGGCAAGGGGATTATCTATTTCTCTTCACATCTCCAATCAGTATATTATCTTGATAAACTTAGCTAAGTAGAAAAAGCATAGACTTTAGTCCCAAAGATATCTGCATTTGTATTCTGTATCTCACCCTAACTACGTGTTAGTTTCTCAATGTTGGTTTGTTATCTGGAAAACAGGAATAATAATAATACCTGCATTATGGGCTTTGGGGAAGATTAAATGATGATGATCCCTAACTCAAAGTCTGGCATTTAATAGTTACTCAACAAATTCTGCTTCCCTCTCTACCCTTTCATGAACTCTTCCGCATAGTAGTTGCTAAAATTATCAGTTAAGTACCTTTTCAAGAGAAGGCTACTCACATGAAAAAAATAACAAAAAAATAAGATGCTTACCTTGAAGATTTTCACACAGCACAAAAATGGTTAAAATAAACAAAACCTTAAAATTTGTATTAATAACTGAAATTTTTACCCATACATTCATTTAACACAGTCAGAAATTGTGTTTGTTAAAGGCATACAACAACTGCTTCAGAATTTCATGATACAAGACCAAATTTGTTCCACTTCTAAATGTCTATCATCTTAGAAGCTAGAAAAAATTACTCGTTTTAACCAGTCACCCATCTTACTAGCTCTGAAATATAGAAAGGCATTAAAAATTTAAGAAATTATCATTATTACAGACTT